CACTATTTACAAGCTGTTTGTTAAGAAACACTTATAAAGACATTGTATGTTGTATGTGAGTTATACTTTTTTCACTTTTTACCTCCAGTTGTTTTGAAGTATTCAGATAATATATCTGCTCCTTCTTCCCCAATGATCTGTAACTGTTGGAATGTTTGTCCCTGTATTAATTTCATTAATGATGAATTGTGTCTTAATAATTAGTCACAGTTGTAATCATTAATTATTATTATTATTATTATTTATTCAGGCCTCATCGCAATAAAATCTAAATAAAAATACCAGTGTCAGTTTTAAGTAATGCTTTAATTTGCCACCGTCAGTCAAACCTTCAAACTCTTCATAACTTTTCCAAATAAATCTTACTGGCAAACAATGTATGAAATTAGAGAAACAAAAAGCAGTGTTGGTGTGTTTCCTGCTGCGTTTTGGATTCAGCTGGTGGTGTTGAGTCTGGGGGGCCGTAGAAAGGTGTCTGCCTGTGTGATAAGCTCTTATCTCCTCTGGGCAGATGAGCGGTGGTGGACAAAGCACTTAGATCTCACTTACTTAAGTAAAATTAGCAATTCGACCAAGTAGAAATACTTTGTTGGCCATGACCCCAGGCAACCAAAGGCATGACAATCCAACAAACAGTTCCTGTTATTTTAGTAAGCAAGGAGCCTGCAGTGGCAAATTTGTTAATTTGACACTTGGTGGTCCTGGTGCATGGGCAACACAACATCTGACCTTGTGCTCCGGAGTACCAGGACCAGCCAGTGAAGGCACAGTTCCAGGACCACCCATAACCTGCCTACAGCATGCTCCAGTAGGGCCCGGCAAAGGTCTCAGCCCTCTGAGCCTAACCTATATGCACTTGAAAAGACTGTAACCCATTCAGGATTCACAAAGATCCTGTATTATAGAACATATTTCAATTTGACATTGATAAATACAGTCATTATATGGCCTTTGACATTTTGGAGCACTGACCCCCTCATTCTAAGGTATTCAGATTGTCAGAATATATGAAATTGAGCTTCAAATTCTGACTTTTGGCATACTTTTGAAAGGGGGGGCTCAGTGTTCACAAATGTCAACCCAAATATAAAAACTGTTATTGTTTCTCACACTGATATTCAGGAACATTTTGGGCTGTTATTTGGGAGTGAACCCCCTCATTAAAAAATGCGCCAAATGTCAGAATAAAAGTTACATGTAAAACTTTAAAAGTAAGTACCATAAAAGCAGGGATGCACGATAATTATATAATATATGATTATTAATCATTAGAGCTAATAAATTATTGGTTGATATTAATTAATTATTTTGAGTTCTTAAGTGGAATGATTGATAGGTTTTATGTTCTATGAACACCAAAAGTATGTTTGTTTTAAGTAAGTAAGTTAAGTAAGTTTTTTTAAATTAACTTTACCAGAAAAAGTAACTGAACATTTGAAGAAACAGAACTGCTGTATGTTGTTGTATAAACAACAGTGATATATATAGATATATACAAAATTGTGAAATTATCGGATATAATATCGGCTGAAAGAAATCCATATTGTGCATTGCACAGCACTGGATTATAATTACTGATGCACTGATGTATTTATCACAGTGTTGCAGCTGGTAAATGTGGAGCTCATTTTAATCACTCTATGTACTGCTGTGCAATTCTGTAGGTTGTAACCTATAATATAACATCATAATATATTTGTTGGTCATATTTTGTATTATTAACTAAAATGTAGTAGCTAAAGTTTTCAGACTGAAGTAAAAAACTACAATATTTGACTCTGAAATTTAGTGGAGTAGAAGTACAAAGTATGGAAACTTGAGTCAATGTACAAACAAAATGTATCACTATACGTATGCGAGGACAATGAATAATGCTTTGTATTCACATCAAACAACAAACAACAAAGATCTGAGGAATTTGCTTTGGTCAAGTGATACATAAGAGGAGTTTAAACTGCAGCACACAGTTTAGTGTTTAGATGTGGATTTCAAGAAATACTGACAAAAGTTGAACATAAAAACACAATCGTTAGGAAAATTATTGTGAATGCTGGATATGCTGACGTATGAAGGCCGGTCTGAGGAAAGCATTCAACAGACATATAGAGAGGTTAATTCACTGAATGTATCTTGGACAAAAATGTCAGTCGACAGCATAAATAGTACACAAGTATGGGTCTGATAGTCTGGTCTCTGAGTCCATAGATGAGAGAACTCAGACATCTGGGCAGAATGAAAAAACACACATACAAAACATTCTGCATACGCATAAGTACTACCCTCGAAACAACTTTTGATATGACTAAAAGGAACGGGTTAAATATGGTTGAGGAGAGACTGAGGCCCAGCTGTACCAGATGCAGCAGCAGTGTGTTACGAGCCTTACGGGCTGAAGCTTTGTCTGTGGAGGCTGACCTGGCTGCTATCACCACACCAATATAGGAAGAAATAACTGCAACACCAGCTGAAACAAACAGAAAACAAGTGTATGCTTTGTCATAAATATCAGACATTGACCCAAGAAACATGATAAGCGTGCTACATAGGTGGTTCATCTGCAGACTGTCCAGGTCTGAAAATGGAAAATCCAACAGCAAAAGGACTCGAATTAGAACATTTAGTGAACAAAAGGCCCAAACCACAATGATAGCCACTGCTGTGTTTCTGATGGTGATGATGGTAGCGTGCCTCAGTGGGTAGCACACAGCTACATATCTCTCCAGAGACATCACCACCAGTGTAAGAGGGGAGACTTCATTAGTGAGATTGGCAAACATTACTAGAAGTCCACAGAAAGGATACGTCACCATTATTCTACAAGAAGACAGCAGGTACAGTATCTGACCCAGTGCCATCTGCATGGTATCTGAGAAAAGGAGGTTACACAGAAGAGTATAACGAGATGTCTCACGAAACACCAGTTTACTCCTCAAGGTGAATAACATGGTTCCATTAATGAAGAAAAACACACAGCATGGTAGTGTAGTCAGAGTGGAAAGTATAACTCTTTCCAGAAACCCCAGTCCAATTGTTACGTTGGTCTGAGACTGAGTTGACATCTCAGAGAAGCATTTAAGACATGAGAAAGAAGGTCCAATAAATCTCTGCCTGGTTATATGACAAACAATGAGAAGAAATGCCTGCTGATTCACATCCAAACAACCCCCAAATCACCCAAATGCATTTTCCCTGTGCAGATAATGAGCAGGTTAGAGTTTGTGCTTGCTGTCCATGTGAGCAGAGCTGGTCTGCCTGCCCCCTCTTCTTGTACACCAGGTTTGCTGTACACCCTGTTCACGTGACACCATCAGAACAGCTCAGTAACTGGTGATGTTATCTGTCTTCTCCTTACACTCCATGGGATTGTGTCAAAGTGTAAATTTAGTACGTAAACTTTATTCCAACAGTTCCTCTCAAAACCAGAGTAACAAGGTGCTTCACAGACGCACATAAAATGCTGTATCGTATAATACAATAATACATTTGGGGGAATTGGCAAACAACAGAAATAAAAAATACATAAAAACATTGGACAAAAAACACAACTTAAACTCTATACAAATATTTTCTATAGATAATATTTTTAAAAATACAGCATAATATAATATGAAATTAAATTTTAATACTGTTGTGAACTAGCAAACGGCTGTGATAGAATGAATAAACCGTATGCAGACAATTGTGCAGTTATGCAGTAAATGTACGTGCATAAAGAGAGCTGGTTATGGACAGATAAGAACAGTAAGTAGAGAGGTAATTATAAAGTTGCAATCAGAAATATTTCACCCCCCAAAGATTTTAAGGAGTTATCAATTAAAGTTTTTTCCAAGAGCAAGATTCTGCTTCGGATGACTTCTTTATGAGTCGAGTGATACATAAAATCAACAACAAAAAATGCGTAGTAGTAGTATTTGTGTGTAAGATTGTATTTTGTTAAGATTGCCATGTCACAGTTATTCAACCCCTAATTAATTTTGCTGTTTTTAAAGCTGTCTGAATGGAATGGAATTCTATAATGATCCTTCATTTACTTCAGCTGTGATGCATTCATAAACCCCACCCATGAAGATATTGAAGGTGAGTTGCAATTATGGGAATGACAAAGGAGCTTCAGCAAAAGCTGAGAGAGGAGAAATATAATATTCCAAGAGACACCATTGGCAGCATTATAAGGTAGTTTAAACCTTATGGAACAGCTGTAAACCTGCCTGGCTGTGGAAGAAAGCCCAGCATTTCATCAATGGCCCTTAGCGGAACATCTAAGAGAAACCCCTGTGTGACTGCAAGACACCTACAGGATGACCTGATGAAGGCTGGTACAAGTGCTTCAGTGGCAACTATAAGACATGCAGTGAATAAAAAAGGACTTCATGGCCAGACTCAAAGTTGCACTCCACTCTTGACCACGAGGAACATCAAAAGTCAACTAGAATATGCCAGGGGGAATTTAGATAAGACTACAGAGTTTTAGGAGACAGTTCTATGGACTGATGAAACCAAACTGGAACTGTTTGGACATATGGACCAGCGGTATGTCTGGAGTGCAAAAGGCCAGGCTTATGACCAGAAGAATACCATCCCCACAGTCAAGCATGGAGGGTGGTCATTGATGATGTGGGGCTGTTTTTCTGCACCATTTTAAAAAGGAATTAAACCTTGGTGATCATTGGACTTCCCAGCTAGACAATGATCCCAAGCAGACCTACAGGTCAACCAGAGGGTTGAGAAAAAGATCCTGGAACGTCCTGGAGTGGCCTTCTCAGTCACCAGATTTAAATCTGATTGAAAATCTTTGGTGGGATTTAAAGAAGGCAGTTGCAGCACGTAAGCCATCAAACATCATTGAGCTAGAGGCTTTTGCACGTGAAGAATGGGCAGATTCCGTTCCGAGTTGTAAGAAGCTTGTCAGCACTTACGGAAAATGTTTTTTTAGAAGTTATAAAAGCTTCACAAAGTACTGAAGCTGGGGGTTGAATAATACATAATATAATATACAATAATACATGCACGTATTTTAAAAGAGTTACATTTTTTCATTTTAACTTCAAAGTTAAGTTAACTTCTGTTGTGAAAATAACTCAAATATCTATCAATAAATATTTGTTGTTGTTTTAATTAGGTTTTTTCTCATTTATTGTCATTAGCACAGCTGCTTGTCAGATGTGGTCACGAGCAGCACTGGTACACCCGAAGGAACTGTACTGTCACCGTTCCTGTTCACCCTCTACACCTCTGACTTCTAAACTCTGGAGCGTGCCACCTACAGAAGTTCTCTGATGACTCCTCCATTGTCGGCTGTATCTCAGATGATAGGGAGGAGGAGTACAGAGACCTGATTGAGAACTTCATTGGATGGTGCGACAGGAACCACCTACAGCTCAACACAGGAAAAACCAAAGAGCTGGTGGTGGACTTCTGGGGGAGCAAGAGGACCCCCTCCCCTGTTGAGATTAAGGGGATAAGGTAGAGATGGTGAACACCTACAAGTTCCTGGGGGTGACACTCAACAATAAACTGGACTGGACGGATCACACTGAGGCCCTCTACAGGAAAGGACAGAGCAGGCTGTTCTTTCTGAGGAGGCTCAGGTCATTCAACGTGCCTGCCGGTGTCATATTATCTTTCCTCTTACAGACACTCAGACACTCGTTGACATTCCTTTGAAGAAATCCAGATCCAACATTGGTCTTTGGCCATGACCATAGGCAACTAAAGACATCCCAATCTAACCAACAGTTCCGGTTATTTTAGTAACCAAGGAGCCTGAAGTGGCAAATTTGTTAATTTCAGACTTGGGGGTCCTGGTGCACCGGTTCCAGGAACACCCATAACCTGCCTACAGCATGCTCCAGTAGGCCCCGGCAAGGGTCTTAGCCCTCTAAGCCTAACCTATATGTACTTGAATAGACTGGAACCCATTCAGGAGTCACAAGGAGCCTCTATTATGAAACATATTTAAATTTGACATTTATAAGTCAAAATACAGTCATTATGTGGCCTTTGACATTTGGGAACAGTGACCCCCCATTCTAAGGTATTCCGATTGTCAGAATATATGAAATTGAGCTTCAAATTCTGACTTATGGCATACTTTTGAAGGGGGGGGGGCTCAGTGTTCCCAAAATGTTCCTGTTTGTCACACTGATATTCAGGAACAATTTGTCCATTGCGTCAAATGTTAAGTTTTTGACCCAAATGTCAAAAATATACACATCTGATCTCCAGTCACTGGCTCCTTGCCCTGCAGCCCAGTTGCTGATCCCCTCCCCTGCAGCCCAGTTGCTGGCACCCTGCCCTACAGCTGTAACAGCATTAGCTTGCATTGCCGGCCTCCAGGTCATCCTTCAGAGTGTCTGGTTGTCCTCTGGCCTGCCTTTCAGAGCTGCTTCGCCTGTCTGATCAGCCTCCTGCCAGGTCACCTTCGCGACTCCGCCAACTGACATCTCCGATGCAGTCACCATCCAGCCCCCAGGTAGTCTGTCTGAGTGCTCTATGTCTGACCCTGATCCTGTTGCTCTGAACATACTCCTCATGGGCAAATGGGACTCGTATCTTCCCCAGGCTATGTTTGCGGAAAGACACCTTACTGGAAGATGTTGCTGGCAGCAAAATCTTCTAGGCCAACTTTCTCTTTAACTATCTGCAGAGCGGGCAGCATCATCACAAGTGGCAAGGATAAGTGACGGCTGTGAATGGTCATTCTGGTCATTGAACCCCAGGCACTCTGCGTCTGATCACCTCTGGCTGATAGACTGTTTAACCACAGTTCTGTTGGGGGCTGATGGTTGCAGACCACATCTCTGACCAGTAATCCTCTCCTGGAAAAGACAAAAAAGGGTAACTGACCTGTCACCAGAGCTTTTGAATGCAATAACTATTCCGGATGCCTCGCTCTGTCTGTGCTGTCCGCTCGGCCTCAGCCACAACCCCAGCTGAGAGTGGATACACCTGAGATCAGCTAGCTTGGACTTAGCTGATTGTTGGTCGTATACCCCTCTAGAACACTGTGTTCTCTGAATGCTGGGCTACTTGTGGTTCCTATAGTCTCTAAAAGTAGAACAGGAGCCAGAGCCTTCAGCTACCAAGCTCCTCTCTTGTGGAACCAGCTCCCAGTTGTGGTTCGGGAGGCAGACACCCTCTCCACATTCAAGAGTAGGCTTAAGACATTCCTCTTTGATAAAGCTTATAGTTAGGGCTGGATCAGGTGAGTCCTGAACCATCCCTTAGTTATGCTGCTATAGGCCTAGACTATCGGGGGATTTCCCATGATGCACTGAGCTCCTCTCTTCCTCTCTCTTTCTGCACTCATTCATGTCCCATTAATGAATGTTACTAACTTCACTTCTTCCCCGGAGTTCTTGTGCTTTCTCGTCTTGCAGGTTCTCATGGATCCTGGTGGAGCCTCCTGCCATGGTCCTGCTTGACTCCCATTGCTAATATAACTGATATTATTGTTATTATTATTATTATTAATATTATTATTACTATGGTTACTATTATTACTATAATCACTGCTCATTGTCCCCAACCGTTGTTGTCGTCGTCGTCATCATCTTCTTCATGTTCATCATCATCAGTCACTACTATAAGTGTAGTTGTTGCTGTGCACCTTTGTCTCTGTCTCCCTGTCTCTCCGTCTCTCTCTCTCTTTCTCTCACCCCAACTGGTGGAGGCAGACGACTACCCACCTACAGCCGAAGGGTCTGTCCGAGGCTTCTGCCTCATAAAAGGAAGTTTTTCCTTGCTGCTGTCGCCAAGGTCTTGCTCATGGTGGGAACTGTTGGGTCTCTGTAAATAATGTTATAAGGAGTTCAGTCTAGACCTGCTCTATTTGAAAAGTGTCCTGAGATAACTTCTGTTATGAATTGACGCTATACAAATAAAACTGAATTGAATTGAATTGAATACATTTCTTTCCATACAGACACTTAAGTTAGTCATATGAAGCTGAGCCACATTGATTTGTCTCTCCAACTTATTGAGTGTATTCCTGACTAGCGTGTGTGAAGAACCCTCCGTCTCTCTTTCTGAACCTCCACTGGTCATCTGACTGTGACCACCAGCCTCAACCTAACCAGTATACATTTACCACAGGTTCCCATCCTCGTTCATCATAAATTAAATTCTGTTAATAATTACAATGGTAGAGCAATGAACAATATTTGTAAAAATACACTTCAAATGTGAGTTTGCATTTATGAGTTGAGTTGAAATGATCGTGTAACCCACCTAGAAGGTAAGTGCACACTGGACCAGTTTAATCTAGATTCGTAGAGAGGGGTAATGAA